TTTGGTCTTAAAATAATCAGAAGACATTACCAAAGTCATTCCAAAAGAAAACGGTGAGGTGGTCGGACTTTTGGGTTGAAGTCAATCCAAGCTCACCGTGAAATTAGAGTCTTGAAGGTAATAAACAGGTGCCATAATAATAAGGTGCCAGTTCTAGAATCATTATAATAATAATATTTATTCGCCAAAATATGACTATCAAATAAACACAATTTAATAGCTTCAACAAGAGCATTAAAATTGATTTCTTCTGAATCAATTGACTTTTTTCGACTTGACATGCCCAAAAATACTAGAAAAAAAAATAAAAACAACATTTAAATAGTATGCCTGCAAAGTCGTATTTTTTATGCTGCCCAGATGGGTGTTGATACCGTCTCACAACTGGTGATATGCTGTGTCTCACACCCAGAAATTGGCGCTATTTTGAAAAAGGAAAATTAAATAATTTTCAACCGTAGATTGGAACAATGCAATATTGCATCACGAAATATAAGGAAAACACTAAAAGAAAATGCATTACATTTACCTTTTCCAATTAATTAACTTGGAAAAAAAGTACTTTGCATTTATTGAAAAAACGCTTTTTAGTCGATTATCACACACAGTGTTGGTATTTAACAAAAACAGTTTATATATCCGCATCGGCGTACACGAAAAAGTTGGCTCATATAAAAAGAAATGTTTTTATATAAACCAATCGGCTTTTTAATATTGCATGTTAAAAAAAATTGACTGTCTCACAACTGGAGGTGTCTCACAACTGGAGACTCTCCCCTAAATATCAATTTTTGATACTATTTTTTTAAATGCGTTTTTCTCAAAACAGGATTTTTAAAATTGCCGTGCAGTGTAGCTCAAAAAGTTATTGAACGATTTTAAAATGAAAAATTGGAAATTGTTCGTTATTAAATTTATTATTAAGTGAACTAAACTTGAAAAGAAAAAAAATTTTTAGTACCTTTTTTAAAATAAGAAAGTTGCAAAAAAGTAGGCAAAAAATCGAATTTTTTTTTAAAGTAGTGTCAATTTTTAATATTTTCACTTAAAAGTTAGTTCACTTAATAATAAAATATTTATAAAATATGAATAAACTTGATTTTTTGCTTTCGGACAAAATTTGTGGGCTCAGGACTGCACGGCAGTCATGAACTCCGGCGGAGCAGCTCTATATGCAATAGCTCCTAATTTGGAAGATTTTTGATATAAACGCTTATAAAAAATATGAGTTACAGTTAAATATATGAACAACATAGTAGAAATGTTTTATTTAATTCAAAAAAATTCTTACTTTAAAAAAAAATTCGCGAAAAACGGCAAAAAACATTTTATATTGTAAATGTTTTGAAACAGACAATTTTTGTTTTAGCTTGATACTTTTTTTAACTAGAAATGGCCAAGCATTGAAGTTAGGATAATACATAAAATTCTGTCATGTTTGGCTTTTTTTATTTACATATTTACTTGTAGATTTTAATGTTAAATACTATTAGCATAAATTAATACTATTAACATTAATTGTATTAAAATAAACTGAATGCTTATTTCAGCTTTATCTAAAGAACATTAAAACATGTAAAGTATTTCCAAAATTATATTAATTTTATTAAACAAGACAAAGTCAAGAAATTTTTTAATGATTTTGGAAAGTTAATTAAATTTTACTTTTAAGTTTAATTTTTGAATACTTATATTGAGTTTTAGTGTCTTAGACGGGAAAAAATGTTAATTAATACATTTTACAAAATGAAAAAATTATTTATAGCACTAAAATGTAGCATTTACATAATTTTTGCAGATAGTGTACAATTAATTAAAATTGATTTAATAAATGGTAATAAATCATTAATTAGAGAATAATTTAATCCCAACAAAAACATCTTTGATGTTTTAATATAATGGGTTTTGACCCAATAAGGAAAAAAAAATTTTTCCCAATAAGGGAAACTTTTTCAAAAAAAATTGTATTGTTAAAGTAATTTGGTGTTAAAGTTTTAGATCATTTTATTTTCATGCTATTATTACTTTGAAACAAATAAAGAAACCGCTGCCAAGTTGTATATTTTTTATAATTTTGGTGCGCTCATTTCATGAACACTTTGCTTCCTCATAGAGATAATAATAATAATAGGAAAATATATGAATAACTTTTTATAAATATGGTAAAAGTGATTGAATCTTAGGTCAATCAATGTATTTTTAAATACTCTACAATATAGTTATAATAGTTTAATAGTTAAACAAAAATTTTCAAACAAAAAAGTTGAGAAAATGTCATTTTCCACAATTTTTGGTTTTTAAAATACCAATAATTTCGAAATTTATTATCGAATTAGGTTCAAAAATAAGTCAATCGAATCGTTTTATAATGCTCTACAAGTTGGTAACGATAATTTTAAGATTACTTCTACATTTTTTAACAAAATTTTCAAAAAAATATTTTTTTCCAAAATTTATGATTTTTAAAAGTTTAATATCTCCGGTAATATGGACGAAAAATGTTCAATTAGAACTCAATAGATGCGTTTAAAAAAACTCTACAAAATTATGGAAAAACATTTATAGGTGTCGTAACATTTTTTTAAAGTTATGGGCAAAAAACGTGTTTTTGGAAAATTAAAAATCCAAAAAAAATTTAGTTAAACTTTATTAATCTATCACAAAGTACGCTCACTTTATATCCGCAACTCCTGAGGTCAAATAGCATAAAGATATATCAAAAAATCGAACTCGAAAAATTTTGGTATTACAATACTTCCTCTATGAGGAAGTAATAATTAAGTAATTTTTTTAATTAAAGCTTAAAGTCTATACTTTAATGATAAAATAAAGGGATTGTTAAATAATGAAATTTTAAAATTGTTATTAACAATTCTTTAAAACAATTGCAAATTCAAGAATGTTCTGAATATTTTGGGAAAATTAAATTACCCTGTATTGATGTGCAAAACTCCAAGTATTAATTTAAAAAAAATTTCGCCTGTATTTCGGCAGAAAAATCTACACAATTTCTGTAATATAGAAGGTTACTGATTTTTCTCTTTTTAAATTAATCCTTGGAGTTTGTACATAATTTTTCAAGTCATTTAATCAATATTTTATTTAGACATTTTTAAAAAATGATAATTTTCAATGTTTTACAAAAATTTTAATGACTTCTAAAATACTGAATGCTTTTTAATGATTTTAGGCTTATTTTAAAGGTGATTTTCTCCAGAATGAGAATTTTTTATAGGCATTAACGTGTAATTTTTTATAGAAAATTCAATTCGTCAAACTTAGATTAAAAAAATTAAAAATTTTTTAAACAATCTTATTAACAGAAAAATAATTATTAAAATATAAACATATATGTTTTTATTAAATTAAGATTTAATGTAAGGTTACATTAAGGTTTTATTTTGTGTGTCAAAGGACCAGGAGTGGGCGCGCAACGCGCGCCCTTTTGGTTCTAGTCTTCATAACATAATCTTTAGCACAAAGTGTCATAAAACAATTGAGGGTTCACGTGCAATAAGGGGACGCGCAGGCTATTCGTTGTCCTCTCGCGCAGCCGCAGTATCGCTATACGCGGGGACTTTCACTTCCATGCGTATCCCCTTATTGCACGTAAACCCTCAATTGCATTACACCTAAAATCGACAACCGAAAATTTATTTAAAATGTTGGGTAGAGTGGGGTAAAAAAGCCACATTTTTACTTTTGATGCTGTAAAATCTGTATTTAAAATTTTTTTCTCAAATTTCCAACTGTTATTGAAAGTTTAGTTATTAAGCTTGAAAATTCTTGACGGAAATATTTTTTATCTCATGAAAGGACTAAGTTATAAGAGTTTTACGAAAGCACTGTAACTGGCTTTTTTGTACCACCTGGTGGGGTGAAAAAGCCACCCTACGATTTTAGCAAAACATGTTATCAATTTAGGTATTTTTATAGTTTTCCTTTATTTATATGACAAATAGTCTTATTTAAAAAATATTTTAATTATTATGAATCCAAGAGTTTTTAGCAAGCAAAATTGAAAATTATATTAAGTTTACCTGTTTTCGATTTGCACTGCCAATTTTTCGTACCTTTTTTAGAAGTTCTCTTTAAGTTTCACCGCAGATAACATCTTTCGCTGAACCGTTTATTCATTGTTTATTTTTTTAATGCACTTTGAACTATATTTCGTCGTGTTTAATTAATTTTATTGAATAAACACGAGAAATTTTGTAAAATAATAAGGTTAGTCTAAATAGAAAACAATTGAATTTTACAAAATATTCAATGGATTTTTTGCCCTGGCTTTTTTACACCCAAGACCAGTTATTAAAAAAGCAAAAATAAATTTTTAATTCAGTTCAATTTCCAAAAATTAACATTGTATACGTTTTCGGTATACTTTTCTCCTTATGTACAAACATTTACTTTTATTATTCGTTCACTTAATCAAATTGTAATATTTTTGAAAAGTTCACCAAAATGTTTTCAAAAAAGCAACAAAAAATTAAAATTACAATAAAAACAATATTAATCTAGGTACAACATTTAAACTAGATTTAAAAGTTATGAACTTTTATATTTTATTTATTATTGTCTTTTATATTTTTTTATTCTAAACACTGACAAATGTGATTTTTTGTAAAAACGTAAAACACTCTAATTTTCAAAAAGTTTTTAACAAAAGTTGTTGGTCTCAATAGAATACCTACACATTTTATAACAAATTTTTTATTAAATGTAAAAATGTTATTTATCTAATTTAGGCTTTCATTATAAAAATCATAGTTAAAATTATTAACTTTATTAATTTCAAGGTGAAAATCACTCCAAGTAGCCCCTTTTACAGTTTTTTCTTTAAAGTTTGTGAGCAAATGTGCTGCCGGTATCTTTTTGGGGTTGATACTTTTGTATGAACTAGAAAGTAAGTTGGTTTTCCTTTCTAAATTAAAAGTATCATATTTTAAAAAAGAAGAAAAAAATAATTTTAAAGGTAAACAATTAATGTAACTACTTACTTTGTAATTCCATTTTCTAGAGTTTCCAAAATTAATGTTGAAGCTTCATTAATGTAAGTTCTCGTAGAAGTTCCACTGATGCCTGAAGCTTCACTTAAACTTGATCTTCTGGAGTGTTCTTCTCTACCTGGAAACAATAAAGTTAATGGTGCTTTTGTTAATTAATCTTTTAATTTTAAAAATACGTTCCGTTTCTAATGTGTCTATTGAAATACATTTTTTCTTACAAATGTGACTAGTAGTTATGCTATTATACCAAAGTGTTCAATATATTTTTAATAGTAACCGATTACTCATAATAATCGTTTTAGATGTTTTAAATTTGTGGTCTCGGATAATTTTTTTCTCGGGACTTACACCACGCATTATCATAGTGTTTAAAATTTGGTATGAAAGTTTATGTCATCTCATAGATGTCACTTTGATCGGTTGATCCTATGCCTAGTGATCCCACTTGAAAAATTTCCCGGGAATGAGACCGAGAAATTCCCGGGAGTGAAGAAAGAAATGAATATGGTAAGGGCCAGACCAGAGCCACTACGGGAAACCTGTCCTGTCCCCGCCTGGATGAAACAATAAAACCGTTCATGGAATTTATTTATTTATATAGTAATTTACAATTTTCTAAAAAAATTTAGTAATAACTACTCCAAATTATTAAGTGTCATACTACTGCCTGGTTTACTCTATTTCCCCAGGCTATCATTATTAAAATAAAAACATGAAAATTAAAAATCGACAAAATTAATACTATTAATTAATATTGCTCTTAGCCTTTTACTATATAATAAATAATTTATATTTTTCTGCATGGGCTTGCTTAAAACAACTGTCACAGTAATGTAACGAGCTTTTTTCAAATTCGACCACCTTCTCGCGGTAAAAATCGGAATACTTCGAATTTTGAAAATCTGACTTCAGATTCATAATCACCGACCCAAAAAACCCAATGTCACGAGTTTCAAGCGAATTCAGTCGATTTTTAGATTTCATGTCCGCCATAATAGATCCGCCATTTTGAATTTTGTAAGTCTGAATTTAGATTCTTAATTGGGGTCTTCATATCGCGTCACATATTACAAAACCGCTGCCAAGTTCCTGACTCAACTTTTGCTTCGGGTTCATTCAATAAAGGCACTCCTTCATAGGTGTACAAAAATGTTACAATGTAACATTACAGTGGCATTAAAGAAATATTAAAATGTCCACCCTAAATTAATATTACTTTACTGTGATATTCCAGTAATATAAATGTGGCATTACTGTAACATCACAGTAGTGGAGTATAGTCGAGGTTGGACCACTGCACTATCGTGGGGTGAGGCGACCGCGACGCAATTTATTCTTTGAAAATTAATAACTCAAAATAAAAAAAGGGCATTCTGCAAATTTACATGCCGATAGGAAAAAAACCTCAAATTTTCTAAAAAGTCAAAAATGTTTTTGGGTCATATTTGTACTTGATAAAACAACAAATTTCCCGAGTTTCAATTTTTTCAAGAAGTTGCAATTTCAACTTAGGACATTTCTCGGAAAATGCCTCATATACCTTATCGAACTAAAATAAAATCCACAGTGTTATCACGATATGATAAAGTGAAGGCAACTGTACTTGATACTTTGAAGAATAACTCGTCTAAACTTTCCTTTACCATAGATGGATGAACTTCGGTACCCATCTAATCGTTTTATGGAATAACTTCGCATTTTATAGGTGAAGATTGGATATTGCGATCGCTTGTTCTTGACTTCATATGGGTAAGAACATAGCGAATCTCTTTTACGATGTTCTTGTCAAGTATGGATTGGACAACAAGTTATAATGCATCACAATGGAGGACGCAGCTGCGAATACAAAGTTTACTTAAGAATTATGCAAGTTAATGAAGCATGTTTTAGTCAAAAAGTTCGACATTAATGACATACATTTTCGGTGTATTGCTCATATCTTGAATTAGTCTTTTCGAGATTTTTTGAAGGAACTTTGTATTCAAGATGATTTTGAGGAAAGCGATGAAGAAGTCGATGAAACAAGAACACTCGAAAATAAAGACCGCATTGAATCGTCGAAAAGATTGATTTGTTTAAACTCGTGGATGACGTGTAACATAAGTGCTGCAATTAACAAAGAATTAAATTCTATTTAGATGTTTTTATCGTTTATATTTAATACATGCACTTAATTTGTTTGAAATTGTTACTATTCAATGATTAAAGTTTTTTTTCAAAAATTTGATTTAAGTTGCAATAATTAAAACTAATAAAATTCATAATGAAATGAATTAATAAAAAATTAAAATTTTCTTGCCTAATTATTTTTGTATACGAATGAAAATGTTTATTACGCAGTATCTATGTAATTTTTTAGAAATATTAAATAGTAAACAATTCTAATAATTTTCAAACTTAATATTTGAAATAAAATTTGTCATAAAATGAATAAATATTATTTTTCAATAACTTAATGTTAGTAAGTAACAATAAATTTAATATTAAAATAAAAATAATAAAAAATATTATTCTTGGTTAAAATTAATTTTGTTGTCTAACTATTTTTCTAAAGAAAAAAAAATGTTTAATTCAAAGTACATAACTTTTTAATAATATTACATAGAAAAGTTTTAATAATTTTCAAATTTTTTAGTCTTTTGGCTATCAGCTTTGCAAAAATCCATTAAATCAACAAAAAAAATAATTTTCAAATTTAATACATTTTTTAAATAACTAAATGAGCCGTTCGCTCGAATAACGGCTTCAGTCGATATAAGCCGTTTTTCAATAGACGCTTACCATCGTATTAATCAACAACTAAATTATAATATTTGATTGAAATTGTTTAACCAAAACCTATTAAGTTATATAATAATGCTTTAAATGACTCATAATTTATAAATTAATGTTAATTTTAAGATTTTCCAAAATCCCTTAAAAACACTTAAACCATTTTTTGAGCGAACGGCTCAAATAACAATTTTTACCAACTTAAAAATAAAAATTTAAAAATTGTATTTTTAGATAAAATCAATGAATATGTAAATAAATATATAGGAAAGGTTTAAAAAATATCTTTTCATTTTCTTTTAAAATTTTGTAGTTACCCTAAAAATTTATGATTTATAGTTTCAGTTTCATGTAATTTTTATAAAAATATATATTGAATATAATTGGTTAATAATCGGAAACAATTTTATTTCAGTCAACTCTATCAATAGTGCCGCAAAATTGCACAGCGTTTACGACTTTTCTTGGAACTGTAGTACCCCCACTGTTTGTATATTTCTCTTTTAGGGGAAACTCGAAATTCAGAAGCCGTGCTAGAGTCGCTAAAGTGGGGATAGAGCTCGAGCGAGAAAGAGGAGAAGCGGCACTATTGGTAGAGTTGACTGTACCAAGATTCACCAAGAATCTTGGTTAAAAACAATACAAGATTCAAATGTCAGTCGAGATAAATTCTTGTACTTGAGGTTTTCTCGCTTGGTCTTGCTTGAATGCATCACTCGGCGCCTTATAGGATTCGCCTGTTATAATTTTCAAAAACTGACATTGGATTCAGATTCAGCGACCCCGTTAACCCCCAAGTATTGAGTTTCAAGAGGATCTAAACAATTTCTAAACTTTTTGGTCGCTATATTGGATCCGCCATTTTGAAATACTTAAATCCAACATCTAATTCAGATTCTGCTATCCAAAATACTATAGTACACTCATGAAAGTTTTAATTAAATTTGATTTGGTACGTTTGTTAAGGTTCTTGTATACGAGGCATTCCAGGCCAAACCAAAATATCGTTTAATTTCACATTTTTGATTTGGCTCAAACATTTTTTATCTTTTAGTACTAGTTGAAAAAGAGCTTTATGATTTTTTTCAAATTTTTTTACCCAGCCGTTTAAAAGATACGAATTTTTCAAAATTTTACGTTTTGAAAAAAAATTTTTTGAATGCTTATGACTTCTACAAATGTGGATCAATTTTAAACTTTCTTATATAAAAATTGTTTGTTTTTTCATGAACTTTTCAAAAATTTTATAAAAAAAATTTTTCAAAAATTTTTTACTGCATTTTTAAAAATTTCAAGATTAAAATTTAATTTTTAAATCTGTTTGTATCCTTCGATTTTTTTTAAATCCAAAAAAACTACTTCCCTTAACGCAAATTTTAAGCCCTGTTCCGTCGTGGGGAAACGATTTTTACTATTTTTTCAGAATTTTTTAAATTATCGAAATTCAGTATTTGCTTCTGCCGCCGTTGCGCCTCAGTCGTAGTAGTTTTTCTACTTTTCATTATGAATTGTAAGATTATATTAATTGCTCTTAACTAGTTAACGATAATAAAAAATAAATTTATATGTGTTTCATTTGAAAATAATAAGTAAGGCATTATTCAAAACATGTCGTCATTTGGGAAATTTAACTATTGCTGCAATCCATTAAAATTAGAAAATCACAAAGTGAAAAATGGTTTATGGTTAGCTTTGAGTAATTTACAAATTATTTTTTCTTTGAGCAGTACAAGTTATTTATGTACAGACTGCAGAAAAAATTTAAATCTACGCCTCAAAGAGCAGGAATCAAAAACATCCGTGAGAGACAATATCGATGTCAATTTGAATGCTACACAGACTGTTAGAAGTTATGATAATCTTACTAAACCAACTCTTTCAGGTATTTATTTATTTAAGATATTTAATACAAGGCAATACATTTTTATTTATAATATTTGTTCTATTCTCGAATCGCTTCTTTCTCTAGAATAGAGTTTTTATTGTTTAATTTTTAGAAATAAATTCATCATCTAGTCAAGGAACTACATCACAAGCTAGTAATAGTAACCTCTCTCAACTGAGCATCACTACACAGCTGCCTGTAATTAACGATGCTTTACAACTTTTAAATCTTTCGCCAATACCTAATCGCAAATTAAATAATTAAAGTTATTTAGAAATGGCATCAAGTGATGATATTGAATCCCGAGACTTTTTAAACTTGATCGATACTTTCAAAACGAAATTTCACGATAAGGAAACGAAAAAAAAAGAGAAACTCCACATTCTGACTTTATTACCGCAGGATTGGAGCGTGTACAGAGTTCAAAAAATAATAAACACAACGAATGGTATGGTAAATGC